TTGCCAAGCTGCAGCACGTCTGGGCCTTGCACTGAGGCTCGGCTCAGCATGGCAATGCGACACAGCTGTGCTGATGCCAGGGATGTTTGGCGATGGTTTTTATGGCTAGGCGGCAGGGCGGCCCCTTTGTGATCCTCATACCGTGCGTAAGAAGCCACAGGCCTCCTCGTCAACCCACAGAAACCTTGCTGTAAATGGCAGTCGGAATCGCTGGTGTTGAGTCAGCGTGTTCAGTGAGCCTCAACTGAACGCAACGTGGAGGTCAAGTGGGGCCCCGTGCACAGTGGCACTTGGAAGGGAACGAGATTCGCTCCGTGTCCCCCCGTCATCCCTCTCGGAATGGATGGAGCTGTATTCCCCTTCTCCCAGTGCTTCCATCTTGTCCACTCTCCCCGGTTGCTTCCTTTGACTCCAAGTGCTCCATCTCTTGCACCGTGGGGTTCTTTATTTCATAGAAGCACACAGGCGCCTCCCCAGAGACAGCTGCGATGGGCCCGTTCCTTGGTGGCCCCCTCCTCCTCGTTGTTGTTAAACTCAGCCCCCACCCGCGGTCAGCCAGCGACGTGGCTCACACAGGGGCTGCTGTCTTAGTGGGACCCGCTTGTGTCGAACAGACAGAGGAAGCGTTGCTGCTCCTGGGGCCTGCTGGCGGTGGGTGACTCCTATGGGGCGCTGCACGTGTTTGCTCTCGAGAGCATGCCAGTGGAAGGGGAGCCCCAGCCCCCTTTAGAGCGTGGAGGACACAGACACAATGTTGCGTCTCAGCGCGTCTCCAAGCTCCGTTCTCATCTCCAGCTTGCTAGTATCGCTGCCAATGTCCCCTTTGTGTTACCGGGGCACTGCCAAGGGAGGTAGCTCTGGCGGTTCAGTTTGGTGCCGTCGGTAAACTACGGCAGGGCAGCTCCCAAGCTGGCATCGGTGTCCAGGCCAAGAAGCATGTCTGAAAGGAGCCGTCCGCGCTCGTGGTGGGAGTCCAGCCAGTTGTTCGACTAATCTCCGGGGTGTTACACCAACACAGGCATGGAGGCTCTTCCCCTCCCTTAAAATATAAGATTGTCTTGACACTGTGATGAAAAGGAACATTTCCAACCCGCACCCGTGTGACAGGATGTGCCAACCCCATGCTGGCGAAGCAAGGGTTAAAGAACAGTTTGGGGCCCAAGAGGCCACACCCCTTCACCTCTGCTGGGCACACTCCCTCCGTTCTAAAGGGAGCCACTCAGCTCAGTCTGGGCTGGCCCAGGAGAGCACTCGTGGGCAGCAGCCTCCTGCCAGGAAGCCACCAGGTTCGCGCCTCCTAGCTGCACCGCGGGAAGCCAGTCGTCCCTGGGAACCGAAGGGGACGACTCGCTGTTGCCGGCCGAGGAACTGCTGGAGGCGGAGCAGAAGGGACACAAGAGGGACCCCACGTCCAACCCTGGAGACGAGGCCATAGGGGCTGGGACGAGGGTAGGCAGCAACCCAGGGAACATGCATGGGGGTGGTATTGGGACCTGAGCCCTGTGCCAGGGTACCTTGTTTTCAAGGGCCCTGGGTTGGAACTTGGTGGAGTAGGGTGGGCCCCTCTGCTCCCCACGCTCACTGCTCGGCGACACTGCCTCAGATACCACCGCTAGGTAAAGCGGCCCCTTGGTCTCTCACCAGTGGACAACGTTCTCCTGGGCTTTGAACTCTTGCCAGTAGGCATTCCGTGCCGGAGTTTCGCCATTGGGGCATCCAGCCAACCCCCGACAACCCTGCATAGGTCACAGCACTTCTTTAAGTGCAGAGGTGCTCTCTGTGTTAACTCAGTAACCAGCTGTTACTTCCTTCCCCACGCCTGCTCACCGGAGGGCAGGGCTGGGCCTAAAATCAGCTGGCAGTTTGCTCAGAAGCTCAGTTTGCTTCTATGAGTAGTGAGCAGAGGTTTGTTTCCAGTGAGGCTTACGAGTGACTCCTCCATACCAGCCTTTCATTGCGCACTGCTCTTCCCTATGCTTCTGGGGCTGGGCAGGTGCAACCCAGCAGCTGCCTTGAGAGACGCCCTGGCCCCATTGAGTCTGGAAGCAGAGGATGCCGCTTCACAGCGACTGTCACCCTTGGCCTCTTGGAGTCCAGGAGGCTCGGTAACCCAGCCCGATGCGAAGCCGCAACATTTTGGTGCCTGGCCAGAACACGCACGAGGAGCATGAGTGACTGTCTGACAGAGCTGCATCACTTCTGCTCTGAGTGCAAGGCAGAGATGACTAAGGACCAGATCCTAATCTCGGATGTACCCGCCCGCCTCGCCGTCTATCTTTCAGATCTGCTGCTGTGTCACACCCCCACAGCTCACATCCCTCTCCAGAGAGCAACGGCCTTCAGTGTTAGTCTCTCTCTTGCCACCGCGGCCTGCCTGACAACAAAACGAAGCCGAGAGGTGGGGTGGGGGTGGCGCTTTGGCTGCTAGTGGGAAGAGCTAGTGTGGAGCACTTGCCACGTTCTCGGGCTGAGGAAGGAGCCACCACAGAGAATGTGCCTGGGGTTGGCTCATTCTCTCTCACTCATCACCGCCATGGGGAGACGCTGCCGCTCTCTCCTGCCCCCAGGTGAGGGTTCCTTGATGTGGGCTGCTGGCAGTGCTTGTTGGGAGGGATGAGGGGGTTGTTCCAGGGTGGTGTCTGAGTGGGTCTCTCTTTCTCGCTCTGTGTTGGAAGCAGGAGCAGGAGGGGCGAGTCTGAAAAGACAAGCTACAGGCTTGGCCCACAAGCTGTTACTCAGTTCCATTTCAGAACTGGTCGCTCAGTTTTCTGGGGCACACTTTGGGGTGTGGCGGCGTGTCCGCTGACGGCGCAGGGCTCTCCGGTCAGTCAAGCTGTTGGAGGTCAAGAGCACAGGCTCGGGATGGGCCAGCTTGGGGTCAGCATCCCTCCACACACCCCCAGTAGGGCCAGCTTTTCCGCCGGGGTCAGCACTCAGCAGCTCCCACTCTGATGCTGATAGCCAGATTTCCAGGCACTCTGCACGCAACGTACAGATCCGTGTGGCTCAGAGAGCAAAAACAGAGCCTGCCCCACTGGGATTGAATTCCCATACCTCCCAGAGCTCCCTCGGCTTCTCCGCTAACAGGCGTGGAGCCCTGGGCAAGCAGCAAAAGGGTTAAAATCCTCCCATGATGGACAGCTCATGAATTTAGGCGTGGAGCCACCCCTGTGGACCCAGTCTTGTGCTGCAGTGACCTTCCCGTGCTGGGTGTGAGGAGCATTTTCTGCAGCGCCCACCGGGCACCGCATGCAAAGCAAATCTCCATTCCTCTCCCTTTGGATTGTTAACTTTGCCCCAGCTGGGCTTGGTGTCGCCCCAGGGACAGTTGGCAGAATCGCTACCAGAAAACCACGCCGGAAGTGTTTCCAAGCTGTCATCGCAATGAGCAACTGGATTTCTTTAGCCAGCACTCCAGATCAAACAGTTGATCTTAGAAATCATGCCGCAGTGGGGAGAAAAACCAGAGCTCCTCTCCCAGGCCAAATTCTGCTTTAAAGAATAAACAATCCCAATCCTTGCATTAGCTGCCTGAGCTGTTAATCAGACATGGGGGGATTACCAAATGGAGAGAATGAACTGCAAAGAATGGATGTGAACCAAATTCCATATGGCTCACACTGCACGTGGGCCTCCCACCGAACCCCCGGGCTGCTGGGCCTGCTTGTGCATGGACTTCACATGACACTACGTGTATAATGATAATGACTATATTTCTTACCCCTCGGAGCATTCATTCAAATGCCTAACCCATACAGGCAGCATGTTCTAGTGGCTGGGGCCCTGAACTTGGATTCATGAGACCTGGATTCTATTCCCAGACCTGCTGCATGACCTTGAGCAAGTCACAGAATTACTCTGTGCCTCAGTTTCCCACCCCATCATTCGTCTGTGTGGATTGACAGCCATTCAGGGCAGGGATTGTCCCGTGCTCTGAGGGTGAGGCCTTGATTTCGGCTGGAGCCTCTTGGCGCTACCGTAATACAAACAATAATAAGAATACGGGGGAGGGAGGTTAGCATGGTTATCTATGGGGCAATGGCGCTGACTGATTCACCCAAGGCCACAGGGGGAGTGAGAACTGAAATGAACCTCCAGGAGTTTTCACTGTTTCGATCCCAGGCGCAGACCTGGCACATATACTTGAGCAGGCAGTCCTGCATTGGCGAAGAGATGGGCTCTCTATATCACCCAATAGGTCTTGCCCATCTCTGATTTCTATGATTCTGCATGAAAATCTATTTCAGATGAGAAGAGGAGCTAGCATATGAGGCTTAATTTAATTTGCTTTTGTACTTTCTCCACCAGCCTCTCTTTGTGCATTAGATTTTTAGGCCACCTCTCCCTCTACCTGTACATATTAATAGTAACAATTGAGTAAGAGGGGCCCGGGCAGAGTAATTGGATTTGTGTGTCTGGTTGATTTTCCGCTCCTCTCCGCACCTGTAAGACAAGATGATTTGATCCCTATCTCCTTTCCCCTAGACAATCCTGGGACGGTTTCAAATGCAGTAGTGAATGAGTTAAAAAAATTAAATTAAATTAAATCGTTAGTGATTATGAGTTCTGGCAAGCAGGGAAAAAAACCTGCAAGTTCTGTAGTGCCGTGAGGGTACTTACAAATAAAAGGGCTCTAATGAGACAAAATCCCGTAGCATATGCAAGCTGAATTGTGCTAGATTGGTTATTCTCATTCTGCATGTGATTGCTAATGGCTTCTACGAGCAAGGGACATGTTTTCTGAGCAATTTTCTTTCTTTTTAATCTCTCTATTCCCTCCCCTCAAAACATATGAAACAAAGAGAAAAGGGACGACGTTCCTTTTGCAGAAGAGCTATTTAGAACAGATGTTCCTTGATAACAGGATGCGGCAACATTACCCCCTTCATGTGTCTCAAGATGCCTGACTGCTTTCTAAACATCAGCCGCTGATTTTTCACGTCGAATGAGTCTGAAGCCAAGAGAGAGACTGAGATTCACTTTCTGTTTCCCAGAATCTTTCCCCAGGCCCTTTTTGGTTTGATTGTACGGTGATTGCAGAAACTGATAGTGGGGGTTGTGTCGTAATAATCCCATTTTATTCATTACTGGCTTCACAGAAGAGAACTTTTGTTCCCAAACTCTCTGGGACCAAACAAATGTTTTGAACTTCTCCTGTGTTTTCTGTAACTGTGTAATCCTAGATATGGTGTGTGTGAAAGAAGAGGATCAGGACACCAGCATTCCTTGGCAGGATAGACTAGTACAGGGATAACAGACAATGAGTATATCTTATGCAGGCCAATTGCGGAGCTTGGAGCTTGTTACATAAACCTTGGGCTTTCAGCTGTGTCATAAACTGTCTTGTAAATTTCATGGGGTGGGCTGCATTATGCAGGAAATAAGAATGTAGCAGCAGGATGGATTTGCTGATGTTAAATCCAATGGTGAATCATAGATTTTTTTTTCCAGGCTGTAGAACAGACTTCCAAGGGAAAGGGGAGAGCCCCATCACTTGGAAATATAGAATATAGGTGCAACAGAGCTGTAGCGGGCAGTACTGCATTGGCAGGGAGATGGGTTTAATAGCCCAATAGGTCGTGCCTATCTTGAATTTCCGTAGTTCTGCGTGAAAATCTATTTTAAATTGGAAGAGGAACTAGTATTTGAGGCTTAATTTAGTTCTGTAGCTTGATACTGTACTTTCTCCACCAGCCTCTGTTATGGTGCATTGGATTTTTCACATCCTCCTTTGTCTTTAAGTGGTTTGTCCATCTCTTGCTTCTGATTAGAATAACGCGAGTGTTCTTTATGCTAGTTTTGATGTTAAAGGTTTTTCTGCTTTGCTTCTTCCCCTTTGCCTGCTTTTCTCATCTGGGGAATGTCTCCAAGTGTCTGCGAGGGAGACTGGACAAGATCACAAGCAGTAGGTGTATTCAGGAAACAGCGCCACAGGGCTAATTTCAGTGGGAGTTTCAGCTGCTTACACCAGAGCTGAATTCGCTCCCTAACGTCTCACAGGCTGTGTCTGGATAGTGGGAAAGACGGATGCTCTTGCCCAAACATGAGGCCATGGAATTTGGAATCTGAGGCGGGCAGGGAGGGGGGAGAGAGGCTGAATTTCCTGGAACCCAGCAGCATGGTGTAATGCCGACAAAGCCTGCTGAGCGCAAGCTGAATTGCGGGACTCACGCCTATGGGAGCGAGCCTTTAGTGGACGTGCGAATGACAGT